GTGGGTGTGGGGTGAGTGTGGGCGTGGGTGTGTGAGGGTGTGGGTGTAGATGGATCAAAATAGTCACGGAGTCAGAATTGACACCCGCATCCTCAAGATGGCCACTCAGGACTAGCCATTGACATGCATTGTCTATTTTTCTATTTTCTCATTAGTCAGATGGGCATTTTTACACATATGAAAACTAAGCCACTCATATTGGATAGATTCGTTATTAAAGACTTCAAAAATTTGCATAACTGTGTATGGCTTTTCGAACAGATTTCAATCTATCCTGTATTGTCAGGAAAACGATAGCCCATCGGATTCGTTCTCGAGGCAATATTAATTAAGTTTCTGCGAAAAGTCATTTAAGTTACTTCAGACTTATCAAGTCTATACATTGAGTTAACTTTCAAAACTAATGTTTAGTCGTTCCTCGGCCACTCACGACTAGCCGTTTCTATGAACATCTCTATTATATCCTTCACTTTTGAGGGGAATAAATGAGTTTCCTTTTATGTTCACTCCAACATGCGAAGTGCTTCTGATAATACGATTCCTAAAAAGAAACTAAAATGAGGAAGTACTGTTTTAAGAGCCGCTACGAATAGAGCATATTCGTCTAGCATAGTTCCTCACATACTTGGGATGTTATTTATATGGCTGATGTTGATGGAGATTCAACATCAAGGTCGCAATCAGATACCTCACTTTTATTCACATATTTCTGCTAAAATTCTATCGAAAGATATCACGTGTGGTAGTCAACAACGGAAAGACCTTTAATTAAAACTGATATTGAATTCGTAACTTTTCTTCCAGTTACTTCAACTAGAGTTTTTATAATATAACGATTACTAAATCTTATAAGTAGAACTCTTAAATGTTCCTAATGACATATATCACATCCACGAACACGATTCAATCCATTACCTCTAATTCAGATATGAAAAAAAACAAAAATACGTACATACTTCTTTTCGCAAGAGGGAGCAAACAAGGCCGAAGCACATTGGATCAGAGAGAACTTACCTCGAATTCATGTTCTTTATCTTCGATAATCTTTGATCAAGTTTTATTTAAAACCACTGTCGCTATCTAGTAATTGAACTAGAAACGAAGGTACTTAACTCATTCTACATATACCTTCCTTCCAGTACAGGGAATATGTTGGTTTTTCAAAACAACACATCTCTTCTGGAAAACCCGATCCTCAACAAAGTTCTTGAAAATTAGGACCGAATTCGTGTTCCTCGATCCCGATTATCTTTCACTCAACCTTTATAAAAAAAACTTCTTCGTAAAAGAACGGTTCTTTAGTGGAAAAAAATTGATACTCAAAATAATTCATAAAAACCAACATTAGATTCGAATTCTATGACCTTCATTACCTCTGGTCGAACTTTAAAAAGAATTTTTTTCGTAAAAAAACCATCTTTTGCGTAAAAAAATGAGAGAAAAATATTTTCAAAAAAACTAACATCAGATTCGAGTTCCTCTACCTCGATAAGGGTATTCTTGATGTTTTTTAAAATAAAATAGTAAAAATTTGCTGTAATATAATTTGCCGCAATCTGATAGGATTATGTAAACAAACAAACTTTAAGCATTTTAACGGCCCTGTTTAACGAGCCTATAACTCTTTCTTTCAGAAAAGGGGATGACGTGTCGAAGTCATAACTTCGGCAATGTATTTTCTTCATTAGTAAATTTAATAATTACTCTCTAGTTTAATAGTAGATAGAATGATATTTATTGATGAATATTTTCAAGAAAGTACAAATAATTCACAAATGTTAAAATATATGTTGCATGAGAGGTGAGTGAGAATTTAAGATAAGAATCATATCCACATCTTCAAGCTGTTTCAGTCAAGATCAATATCGAATTTTTGTATTCGATGGTTGGCTGCATCAACAACATAAAGATTACCCTGTTGATCAAATGATAAATCAAATGGCCATGAGAGCTGCGTTGGGCTCCATCCCGATTCTCTTTCACCAACGACAGGAACACCTTCTGTTGCACCTGGTGACCAACGCATTATTTGATGATTTTCATCCGTCAACACATAAATATTACCCATATCATCAACAATCACACCTGTGGGTCCAGACATTAAACTGGGATTTTCGTTAGAAACATGTCCTGGAGCAACAAGAATACCTTCGGTCGCATTCTCCACCCATTTCATCACACGATTATTCATAAAATCGGCTACGTAAACTGAATGATAGTCATCGACGAAGATATGCCTAGGTACATTGAGTTGATTAAGCCGATCTTCATAATTATTTCCGCCCGCTACAGCTGTACCTTCTTTATCTCCTTGTTGAAAACGTCTGACTTCATCTTTTACAGAGTCAGACATATAAAGATCTCCATTATTATCCATTGCTAAACCGTAGCAATAAGTATCATCTATTAATATTTGTTGATCCTGACTATTTTGACGAGACCATCGTATCACTCGTTGATTAGCCTGATCACAAATGATGAGATATTTTTTCTCTTTATCAAGAACTACATCTGTTGGACAAGACAATTGATCTATTTCATTTCCCTCTCCATTTCCACCTGCAACGATTTCACCATTGTTTGCACCAAATTCCCATTTAACAATACGATGGTTGAAAGTGTCAGCAATATAAATACTTTGATCATCATTATCAACATAAATACCATACGGAGTAGATAATTGATTTAATTCACTTCCCTGTCCATTCCCTCCAGCAACAGTAAATGCATTCTGTTTCCATTTCATACTCTTGTTAATGACAAGAGAAGAAAGTAGTTGTTCTATAAAACAGTAAAAAACATTTCAATTTTGTTTTCTTTTCTTTCGATCTAAAAATTATTTCTTAAAAAAGAAAACATATTTTATTTTATTCAACGTTATATTTTAGTTTCGTTACATATAAACTCTTAGAATGTAGGTTTTGCTGTAGATGGATGAACTGTGAATCCCATAACACATTCTCATTCACCTTTCGGTGAGCCCTTCGACCTTATTCTATACAACTATGATATCTGACTGTTAATCATCGAAGATTAAACTGTTTTATGTCATTATTCAAATAAAATATCGAAGATTAAATAATAAAAACTAAACTTAACAATAATTTCTCTTTTATGAATTCTTTGAAATAAGAGATGAACTAATATTAATAAAAACATACCACTTGTCGTTGTTGTTGTCAACAATTCCCTTGTTGTTGTTGTTGTTGTTGTTGTTGTTGTTGTTGTTGTTGTTGTTGTTGTTGTTGTCAACAATTCACTTGTTGTTGTTGTCAACAATGCACTTGTTGTTGATAATGTTATCTCTATTGTTGTTGTTGATGGTATTTCCCTCTTCGTTTTGTTCATTGTAGCAGTAATTGTTGAAATAACTATAATTATAACAATTAAAATAATGAAAAATATTATCCAAATTAATTTTCGCTTTTGAAAATGTTTATATCTAAAATAAGAAATTCTTTTGATAATTTATTTTAATTCATAGTATTTACATACAATCTTCGGAATCGTGTTGTATTAGAGTTAACTTCAATAGACTAGAATATTCAAAAAGAAAATAAGATTATTTTATTCTTTCTATTTAACATATTACTTCATCAGGTTCAACTCTGTTATTCATGTTCATCTTTGTTGTTCTATCCAACCGTTAATACTTTTACAATCTAAAATCAAGAAAACATAAGTTATCTCTCATTAAATTCTGTTTTTGTATTTATAAGATTTGATGTCTTATTAATTAATCGATCTAAATCAAAATAAAACAATGTTAAAATAGAGTTTTGATTTATTCTTATGTGAGATGATGAAAAATCATGTGAAAATGAAATAAATTTCTCTGCTTCTTCTTGATTAAAGAAAAATAAATCCTACGTCACTAGAACCATTAATCATATTTCCTTTTCTCAAAGTTAGTTCTAAGTAAAATATTGTCAGGAGTGAGTTATCATTTTTTTATTAATATGAAAAATCTATGGAATAATATATAATATTTATTATGATTATTTGCAAAAGTAAAAAAGAAGAGAAAGTCAGGGAATGACGTCAAATGCTGCATAATACACATTGAGAAAGATTATAAAGAATAGAATATTTATTGTTATAAAAATATGTTGTTTGTAAACAGCTATTATAATTTTTTACAGTATTGCACGATTTTTTTGGATTAGATATATGTAAATAGCGACAATATATAAACTTTGTTGCTTAACTGGTATACATAAACAAATTTATCCTTCATTAGTACTCAGAGGGAAAGAAATATTCATATTGGAAACAATGATACTATAGAGTAGATTTCCTAAATAACAACACTAAAAAAGTAACTTGTCTTGTCTGATTCATTTCACAGCTAGTTTACATTTAATGGAAAATAATTTTATATATGCATAACCTTTTAAGCCTCATCTTTCAAATAGTAGGGGAGGCGCAAAACTTTGTCTTAAAGCTTACACTCACTATTTTCTTTCGTAAAATATATATGAATTTCACAAAATATCGTCGAATTTGAAACAGACTATAAATCTAATCAACTCATCAATTGTTGGAGTAACAATAGGGGTCATGTTTGACCCCCTTCTCAACAATCTGAAAAATCAGTAGAAATAACTGCAGTTTCTTGGTTTTTGAAGGCGACTGATGTGTTCTAGGAGTTGAATTATAACAGTATTTAACTGTCGGGACATGCTACTCGTCTTCACAAGGCAGGAAACTGCAGATATTACAACTGTTTTTTCGGATATTTCAGAAGAGAGGTTAAAAGTTATAATCTAGATGAATTCATCTATAAACTTATCAATAAAGCGTTACGAACTGAAGATATTGATGCATTGTGTAATTTTGTTGTTATATTGCACATCTAAGTGACTAATTCGACTCATAATAAAAATGAAACGAAGGGATTATTCATTAGCGCACTTCATACCTATAAGAATAATTTTATCCATTTATCATTTATATAAATGTGATAAATGAAGACTTTATTACAAAGTTTAAGAGAAAAGAAAAAAAATGCTTTGTATTATTTAGCATCTATCATTGACTTAATCAATCAAAATATTTCTAATCATGTTATAAAAAGTAAAATCATGATTTTCCCCCGGATTCATCAATCATAAAAGATTAGAATAAGTAAAGAATATGCACGTAGGTGTTTAATATATAGAAAAAAAGTACAAGAATGATTTAGATATAATTATAAATCATATTTTGAAATTTTCTGCCGTTTAACAAGAGCTACATGAGCATGTCTTAGTTCTGAGAATTATTGAGCTTGGTATTCATCATCTCAGTACTTCTTTGGTTTTTGAGCGAATTCATGTTTTTCTATATTCTTTTTCATCAAGCTCCAAAATACTATTTCATTCTTATTTGTGTATCTCATTTTTTGAGAGAAATTTTTAATCCATCTTGCAATATACTTTTAGAAACTCCCGATTTCGATTGAATTAATATTTTTGTTTTTATCATAAAATCTTTGAAAATGATTGATATTATTTAAATAAGAAATGTCTTTATATATTTCTCATTTATTTTATTTTATATTACTAGAGAAGAGAGATTAAAGATTTTTTTCATTATAACCGATTAGTTTATGATGAAAATATTTCGAGAGTATTTTAAAAGTTAGATGTTTTTTTGATTTTATAGTTTGATTTGCTAATCAAAATTGTTCATAATGAATTTAAAAGTCAATAATTAATCTTTAGTTGATTTTGTTCATTAAATAAATATAAAAATTCTGCACTCTAACGAATGGGCGTGGATGTGGATATTGATATGGTTTTGATGTATACCAGATATTCAGACCAACGTCCACAGTCTCATATTATCTATTTCTTAAAGACTTTACAACACCAATGAAAGAGTTTTCAGTCAGACCGATTTTCTTCTATACTCATATGAAGTGACTCGAAAATGGAAACTAATCTTAAAGAAATAAAAAAAAATAAAACATGATTGATGATTAATTTAATGAGCGTGTTATTGTAACACCTCTTCAAAATAAATTTTCTTTCAGCGATCATTTATGTATTATTTATCTACATATATAAAAGCACGTCATCAATTGCGCATGAGAATTTATTGGCATGACATAAATACGTCAGTGGCTTAAGCTCATATGAATAATATTCATCACCAAACCATCAGCAGCTTTTTTTCTCATTTCTTATCTTTTTCAGGCACCTGTCTATCTATGATTTTATACTGTGTTCAATTTCTTTTTGTGTTGTTTTATATATTTCATTCACAACTCATTCGACCATTTTCAGAATATTTATCTTTTTTTCCTTTTATATAATATAACAAAGCTTGTTTTTTTAACAGAAAATGTTCATCGTTATTAAATCTATGCTACTAAAACATACAAGATATTGATCAATGTCTTTTTGTTCATTTTTCTGTTGAATAAAATTAAATTGTTGGATATATCATTGATGATGAGTAATGTTTGCTATAGACAGTTCATTTTGTGAAAAACATCTCTATTGAATGAATACTTTTCTGGAGAAGATAATAGTTTCATTTATACTCGTGCTTGGTTTTATAGATCTTAGATAATCAAAGAGTAAGAAAATGAAGCTTTCTTCCAAGATAAAATATTTTTATTCAGTGGAAGAAAGCGGATCCTATGTATTTCGATAGATCCTCAAGAGCCTCAATGATCCATCTGAGAGATATGGGAGTGGGTGGGCGTGAGGATGTAGGAGCAGTCATCCTATACCAAAATGATGAATATTACGAAATCAGCTGCGGCCCGAAATCAATTCTATCTGATTCTGGGAACACGATTGCCATAAAGCATAAGAGGCTGGGTGAATGACTTTTCGTACCACCCTCTACGAATAGTGGATGTAGATGCGGGTTTGGGTATGTGCGTGGGTGTATCTTATTTACTGCACCTACATCCACTTCGGCACCCATATCTATATCCAAACCTACACCCACATCCACACTAGAGAACTGCACCGCCCTCCGATACCCGATTCTGACTCCGCAATTC